TAAACTTTAAATGATCCAATTTGCATTCCTAATTGCCAGTAGAACTGCAATTGCCTAATTGCCAGAGCCTGCAGGCAGCGGAAGGTCAGTAGAGGACCCAGCTATGGGCTTGGTAGAAGACAGCCCGGAGGGACCGATGCTCAAGAACTCATCTGACCTCATGGACTCTTTCTCGGCCAGCTCAGAAGAGACTCGCGTCGCAGTCAGGGGGTGGAGGAAGAATATCAACTCACCATCGATTTTGTTGGCCACCACAACGCAGGGAATCTCGGGCCGGAATTCTCTCAGCTCCTTGTACCAGCTGTTTAAGTTCTTGTAGGTGACTTTCCGCTGCACATCAAACACCTTCCGGAAAAGAGGCGGTTGTCACGGGGCCGAGAGCAGGAGAGCTCCCCAGCAACCCGCTGCACCAAACGCAGCGACAGGCTGGGTTTCTCCCAGGAGGACATCGGCGAAGGGAACTGCCCTTGGTCAGGGAAAGGCAGCACATGCCGCAAGGCCTGGAGCAGGCGGCCAGCCCCGCTCTTCGCACGCCGCAGAAGCAGTCCCTCGCTCGCCGCTACACCCCCACTTTGTGCCATGCGAGCACCCTACCACCCGGCCAGCGAGCCAGCACTGGGCAGATCCGCTCCGCAGGGGGGGGCGTGAGGCTGCTCTATCTTAACAATTCAAATCTCGTGACACGTGATGAGAACCAGTGGAAGCCGGAGCACCAGGACAAACCGAGAGCGACGCCAGTCAGGAGCCAGGAAGCGGGACTGGTTTGAGCTACTAATGGGAAGGGCAACGCAGAGGGAAATGGAAAGGGCAGGGAACAACGTGGTACGCGGTGCCCCCCCCGACGACGCCGGAACGGGTCTGTACTACAGAGGCCAACAGGCACACCACGGAGCGGGACGGGGACGCCCCGTCCTTCGCATCAGCCCTGCAGGACTGCTCCGCAGCCAGCGCGCTGCGGGGCACGTACCGCCCCGCTGGGAACAGCGGCGAAGGGAAGGAGACGGCAGCAGAGGCAGGGAATAGGGAAGGCCGAAGGAGCTAATCACGGCCAAGTACATGGCTGTGTCTGCTGAGAGGAGAGCGAACAGCGTCGCAAGAGTCACGGCCGCGTGAGCAGGGAAAGTAACACACGGGCCCGGCGTGAGCTGGGGCGGCTGTTGGTGACAATGGTGACAATGCCACCCGGCCGCAGGCACCACCTTACCATGATACACGCATGGGCCTTGTGGTAGTAGGATGCGTGCATGCTCTGGAACCTCTCCTGGCCCGCCGTGTCCCAGAAGTCTGTAAGACACAAAACGAGCTCCGAGTGACACAAGTTCCCACGTCCTGTTTTCCTCCCGGCTTAGAGCCAGGACGCAAGGCCCAGCCCATCGACACCAGGACACAGATGAGGTTTCTCCTCGCTGAGCTGAAACATTCCCAGGCTACGAGACTACGCAAAACCAGGATCTTGTCTGAGCCCCGAGTCGTGCTGCGCCCACGCCGCCGGAAAGAGAGCAGCAGAGTCACCGCGGGCAGGCCATGCGTGTGATCACAGCCAAGCGCCTGCTGTAGGAAACGCTCCCTCTCCCTCCGCAGCCGAACCCTGCTCTTCCCAGGGCACGACTCCCCCCGATGTTAGAAGGGCGAGTGCGTTGACCTGAGGCCCCGGTTCACGGAGTACCTGGCAGCCGAGGTGTCCGGGAGCACAGCCGAGCAGCCGGCGGCGCTGCAGTGCCTCTGGCTTTGCGTCTCGGGCAGAGTCTCCCCTTACGGGGTCTGTGGGCTCATACTTGTGTCTGACTTGTCGGACACATGTCCACAGCTCCTGCTGAGAGCCACCGCTGCCAGCTAGACGGAAGCGTGCTGCTCCCCCTGAGGTGAAAAGGCCACTCCCCTCCGTGTTTCCCCGGGGCCAGGCTGGCTCCTGGCTCAGACGTGCCGGCCGGTGACGCTGAAACTGCCCCGAACACGGAGAAGCGCTCACCAGCCCACGTTTGCATTCGTTCAGCTGCTGAAACTGCCTGACCCTTCCTGCGTGCCCTCCCGGAGTCCTCACTCACAAGGAATGGGAAGGTGCGGGTGACCACGACCCACCGCATGTCCCTAAATTCACTTCCCGGGCAACGCGGCAGCTGTGGAGGAAGAACTTGCCACGGTCTGTTGGCAAGCACGGCTGCTTCCCGCTCCTCAGCAGAGGAATCCATCCACCCTAAAATCCCTGGGAAAAACGAGACTCATGGAGGAATACGCGGCATTTTAATGCAATCCTCACTCTGCCACATGCAACTGGGCAAAGGCCACTAAGAATAGCTCAGCAGAGTAGAAATCAAACCGGCAGGGACGTGGTAATTCTGTACCATGTCAAGTCTCGGCTCGTGGTCCTCTCTGAGACCCTGGAGCGGGGTTATGCGGCGACGTTTTGGCTGGGGGGGAGGGGTGCAGGTGTGGCGGGTGTCAGGGGAACCCAGAAGACAGACCCACCTCTGGCCAGCACTGGTGAGGCCCCTCCTGGCATTCCGTGTCCAGTTCGGGACTCCCAAGTGCAGGAGAGACATGGACACACTGGAGAGTCCAACCAAGACCGCGAAGGGGTGGAGGGCCTGGAGCATCTCTCTGGGAGGAAAAGCTGAGAGGGCTGGGACTCCCCCGCCCAGCGAAGAGAAGGCTGGGGGGATCTCACCGGTGAGGACAAACACCCAAAGGCAGAGGGCAAAGAACACAGAGCCTGG